TCTATTTGTACTGATATCCATATCAACTTGTACATTTACAATAACTCAGTACATATTTCTACCTCTTGTGATATCCATATCAACTTGTACATTTACAATAACTCAGTACACATTTCTATCTCTTGTGATATCCCATATCAACTTGTACATTTACAATAACTCAGTACATATTTCTACCTCTTGTGATATCCATATCAACTTGTACATTTACAATAACTCAGTACACATTTCTATCTCTTGTGATATCCCATATCAACTTGTACATTTACAATAACTCAGTACACATTTCTATCTGTTGTGATATCCCATATCAACTTGTACATTTACAATAACTCAGTACACATTTCTATCTCTACTGATATCCATATCAACTTGTATATTTACAATAACTCAGTACACATTTCTATCTCTTGTGATATCCCATATCAACTTGTACATTTACAATAACTCAGTACACATTTCTATCTCTTGTGATATCCCATATCAACTTGTACATTTACAATAACTCAGTACACATTTCTATCTCTTGTGATATCCTATATAACCTTATACCTATCTCTTAGGTCAAAGCATCAATTGTAAACATTTTTCTGCAGTATTTTTGCTTGTAAAGGGTTTGGTTTTATACTGTGATGCTAATGTTATCTCTTTCTTTAAGTTGAAGCACATACATTCTGTCCCTTTACAATGCCTCAAGTACATCCCCCACTTTTCTCTATCATATTTAATGCCAGTAAACTTTCACTGCCTTTTTTTTCTTTATATTTCATTATCTAACCAAGCACAAATTTTTCTGATAAATAAATGCATTACTGACTTAAAAAAATTGACACCTTGGTTACTCCAAACTCTACATGGTCATCCCCAAACCTTGGACTACTCCACACTCTACATGGTCATCCACAAACCTTGGACTACTCCATACTCTACATGGTCATCCCCAAACCTTGGACTACTCCACACTCTACATGGTCATCCCCAAACCTTGGACTACTCCACACTCTACATGGTCATCCCCAAACCTTGGACTACTCCACACTCTACATGGTCATCCACAAACCTTGGACTACTCCACACTCTACATGGTCATCCACAAACCTTGGACTACTCCATACTCTACATGGTCATCCCCAAACCTTGGAATACTCTACACTCTACATGGTCATCCCCAAACCTTGGACTACTCCACACTCTACATGGTCATCCCCAAACCTTGGACTACTCTTCACTCTACATGGTCATCCCCAAACCTTGGACTACTCCACACTCCACATAGTCAAGCTGTTGGAAGTGGTGTGGGGAATATTCTTGTGGCAGTGATTAACATCCAGAACGTACTTGAATGCTTTTGCCGATAACGTCCGTCCCACGATGCTGCGTTTACATTAAATAATGCAACAACCTATCACATTATTACTGGTTTGAATAGCATGGCAGTTATTGTTTACAGTCAGCATAATCACTAAGCATCTTTGTAAGAAAGTGGAATATCATATTTAATACTCTAATCCTATGAACCAATTATAGACCAGAAATAATGGGCCACAATCAGAGAAGACACCTACCAGCAGCTTGTAGACTTTGTGATACACGAGTACTGGCTGTTTTTGTAAGAAAGTGGAATACATATTTAATACTCTAATCCTATGAACCAATTATAGACCAGAAATAATGGGCCACTATCAGAGAAGACACCATCCAGCAGCTTGTAGACTTTGTGCTACACGAGTCCTGGCTGTTTTTGTAAGAAAGTGGAATATCATATTTAATACTCTAATCCTATGAACCAATTATAGACCATATTCCAGAAATAATGGGCCACAATCAGAGAAGACACCATCCAGCAGCTTGTAGACTTTGTGCTACACGAGTCCTGGCTGTTTTTGCAAGAAAGTGCCTAATATTTGGAGGGGGGTTCTGATAAAGTTTCTGATCAATATACTTTTACGGTGTGTTAACTAAATTTTTATATCCATGTTATTTGAAAGTAACTTGTATCCTTAGTTTACCTAAAGTAAACATACTTCTATCTCTGTTATCCTAAGTCACTAGGGACATAAACATAATCCGAATTATACTTTAGTGTGGTTTCATTTCGATTCATGTTATACTTTTACACAACCTCGTGTACATCTTTATTTTGTTGTTATCTCTAGTCTTTATTTTTAATCAGCTTCACAATACTTACTGCATATTTCTTCAAATAACTTTCTAACATTAATTTACCTCAGGTCCATAGTAGGGTATGCCTTTCACAATTTCCGGAGAAGCATATAAGGGACTGCCGCAAAAAGTGTTGAGAAGGTGTCGGTCATCATAGACGTTGGATAAACCAAAATCAGCAATCTAGAAAATTAAAACTCTGAAGGTAAAACATGAAACACAAGTTTATATCAATTGACTTTTAAAAACTCTGAAGGTAAAACATGAAACATAAGTTTATATCAATTGACTCCTAAAAATTCTGAAGTTAAAACATGAAACACAAGTTTATATCAATTGACTCCTAAAAACTTTAAAGGTAAAACTATGAAACACAAGTTTATATCAATTGACTCCTAAAAACTTTAAAGGTAAAACATGAAACACAAGTTTATATCAATTGATTTTTTACTAGATCACATGTAAAATATACATCTTCATTTCTACTGACCTAATTCAATTTATTTTGCCTTATTTTCAAGTTTCTATAAAAACAAATGGCAAGACAGATACCTTTAAAATGAGTGAATATTTTTCTAAAGTTATAGTATAGTTTTATTTAGAAGCTAATTTGTCTAACAAACTAGCTGTACAATGCATCAAGGATGTCATTTTACAATTTTCATTAGTTATAAGATTACTTCCTGCCTATGTTGTTTGTTTCTTTACATTATATTGTTCATGCCAAACTACATAATGTCAAGTTATTTAAATAACGTTGTTCATAGCAGTTTTTATATACCATGGTTATTTAAATGTTATTTATGTACTGTAAGCTTGGAAGTCACATTGTAACAGCTTAAATATGAAGGTATTATCTATGATGGCACTACAGACCCGACAACCCTGAATTATGCTGCTACAGACCCGACAACCCTGAACTATGCTGCTACAGACCCGACAACCACGAATTATGCTGCTATAGACCTGACAACCATGAATTATGCTGCTACAGACCCGACAACCACGAATTATGCTGCTACAGACCCGACAACCACGAATTATGCTGCTACAGACCCGAAAACCACGAATTATGCTGCTACAGACCCGAAAACCACGAATTATGCTGCTACAGACCCAACAACCACGAATTATGCTGCTACAGACCCGACAACCAAGAATTATGCTGCTACAGACCCGACAACCACAAATTATGCTGCTACAGACCCGACAAACACAAATTATGCTGCTACAGACCTGACAACCATGTATTATGCTGCTACTGAAACAAAACTTTTATACATATATTTAGAAGCATTTAGTCCATATAATAAACATACTTCAATCAACTCGATGGAAATGTCTACACAATTAGACAACATGCAGTGTTTGTGAAGGGTAATGTAACAATTAGACAACAAGCTGTGTTTGTGAAGGGTAATGTAACAATTAGACAACATGCAGTGTTTGTGAAGGGTAATGTAACAATTAGACAACATGCAGTGTTAGTGAAGGGTAAAGTAACAATTAGGCGACATGCAATGTTTGTGAAGGGTAATGTAACATTTAGACAACAAGCTGTGTTTGTGAAGGGTAAAGTAACAATTAGGCAACATGCAGTGTTTGTGAAGGGTAATGTAACATTTAGACAACAAGCTGTGTTTGTGAAGGGTAAAGTAACAATTAGACAACACACAGTGTTTATACAGGGTAACGCAATAACTAGACAACATGCAGTGTTAGTGAAGGGTAAAGTAACAATTAGGCAACATGCAGTGTTAGTGAATGGTAAAGTAACAATTAGACAACATGCAGTGTTTGTGAAGGGTAATGTAACAATTAGACAACAAGCTGTGTTTGTGAAGGGTAAAGTATCAGTTAGATGATTTGCAGTGTTTGTGAAGGGTAATGTAACAGTTAGACAACATGCAGTGTTTGTGAAGGGTAATGTAACAATTAGACAACAAGCAGTGTTTGTGAAGGGTAAAGTAACAATTAGACAACACACAATGTTTATGCAGGGTAACGCAATAACTAGACAACATGCAGTGTTTGTGTATGGTTAATAGTTTGTTAAGAGAAAAGTATTTCTTTAAAAAATACTTTTAACATTTATTCTTTGATAACAAACAGAAAATACAAGTTAGTCACAAGAAAATATAGTAGAGAACTTTATAAAAATAACATGAAGATAATCAAATGTAATTAAACTAGTGTACAGATTCTATGTATGTCTACAAACTCAGTCCCAAAAATTGGCTACAAGAAAAAAATTTAACTTCATGCAAAGCGTATCTTTTCTCTCTAAGAGTAATATTACACAACTTTTACTCTAGAGCATTCTAAGTAAAAAGATATTGAAATACTTAAAATAAATAACAATGATATAACCTGCTTTTCTTTATGTTTGAAGATGATCACTTGAGTAATAATGGGATGGAAAATGAGAATTCCTAAACATTTCTCCTAAAGCCCTGTATTTCCCCATCATTATGTCTAAGTTAGCAAGCTGTGCTGGTTATCGTAGACACAACAAGGCTTAACATACTGCAGAAATATAACTATAAAATGTTCTGTAAATCATTAGTACTGTACCTTAGCATTTCCTTTCTCATCCAATAAAATGTTTTCCAACTTTAAATCTCTGTGACAGATCTTACTCTGAAATCAAGGGAAAAAACAAAAAACATTAGAAAAATTACACTTGCACTCACAGTGTTTAAGACCAATAAAAGATCCTCTAACTGTTCTAATGAAACAATTAACCAGTACCTTGAAATTTCTAACCAAAAAAAGATTAAAATAAATATATGGATTCTACTTTTATGCATCTGGCTACTAGCTGATACTTTCTAAAAGTACAGAGGGTTGTTAACCTTACATTAAAACAATTATGAATATGCAAGTCATGTGACAATCACAGCCAATATAAAGTTAAGTTGGAATAGTATATGTAAGAACTAGATTTTAACATTGTTTGACTTTTCATGGGTATTGTGATGTCAGTGAATACTGATCATTCTCAGGAAGGATAAGCAATCTTCTTTCCTATACAAAATATTCATACATTTAGATTATAAAGATGCTTTTAGATTGGGGATTCAGATATTCCAAGACAGGGATATCCCTTGTATTTAATGGCATTGGAAGATAAAGGACTATGGATCATCTTGGGGTACCGGGACCACTCAGAAAGAGACCCGCAACAAGTTGTACCCCAGCCATGGTAAGAAAAGTGCAGCATCTTGTAACTGGTGAGAATCCAAAAACACAAAGGTCAGTGGCAAAAGTCGTTCACATGCCCCAAATAACAGTATGCACCATAATGATAAATGATCTCTGTCTGGAAAAGCAACACAAATCATATATATATACAATTAACTTCCATAATGTTTCTGCTTAACCACTGCACACCTCAAGAAGCTAGAAAATGAAATGAATATCCATTTTATTCCATATAAAGACATACCAGTCAAGTCATGTCCATGGATTTTTGTGTAATCAGACTGTTGAAACAGACTTTAGGAAACTACTGTCATCAAATACTAGATGGAATATGGAAACAAGATTAATACAACAAAAAGTACATGTAAGCATTAACACCAACAAATAATATACCAATGTAAAATCTGAAGAACTAGATATTACAATACAATGTAGAATATTAAAAAGTTAACATACCACCACATCTGAAGGATTCAATAGATCAATGTACCCTAGAATCTGAAGGATTCAATAGATCAATGTAGCATAGAATCTGAAGGATTCAATACATCAATGTACCCTAGAATCTGAAGGATTCAATAGATCAATGTACCCTAGAATCTGAGGGGTTCAATAGATCAATGTACCCTAGAATCTGAAGGATTCAATAGATCAATGTACCCTAGAATCTGAAGGATTCAATAGATCAATGTACCCTAGAATCTGAAGGATTCAATAGATCAATGTACCCTAGAAGAATTCAATTATATGAATGCATTCAGTCTCTCTTTGAAAATTTTAAACTTACCTTGTGACAATAATATACAGCTGTAGCAACTTGACGGAATAAACGGCGAGCTTCATTGTCAGAAAGAACTTTCTTCTCACTAAGGTAATCATACAGTTCTCCGCCACTAGCATACTGCATCACCAACACTATTTTCTCTTTATTTTCAAATACTGCAGTAAAAAAATAATACAGAAAAAAAATACTGAAGAAACTTTCTTTACCAATACCAAATATTTTGTCATCAGTGCATACACACCATGTGAAAATGTACAAACACCTGTATCTAACATTTCATTTAGAAATTAAGCTAACTGGTATATTAAAAAAAAACAACTGAAAACAAACCTTTGAATGTTAACAAATTATTTTAACACGATTGTGGAGATGTAGTTTAAGCATACTTTTTAAATATAACCACAACTACTAAAACAGCAGTGACATAAACCTCTACATGTTTGTTTTCAGGTAATGCTACCAACAAAACATATCACTTCAATAAATACGCTGCCTTAGTCGGAATAACATTCTTATCTTAGTATGTCGAATTTATCAGCTATCAGAAGTTGATATATCTCTTTTTTTTTTTTTCTGTATTAAAGTTTACAAGTTGCCCAAAGCTTCAGTTATATTTATATAATCACATACATATAAAAACAACTGAAGATTGAGCAGTCAGTTAAGAAAGAGGAGATCAGAAAGAGTAGATGCTCAGGCATTATTCTGTTAATGCTCTTTTATTCCTATTTTTGTGATAATTATTTTGCCATGACACCATGTCTGTTTCCTTTACAGTTACTTAGTTAGCATTTATCAAACATATCACGACAAAGAGAGTTGAGAACTGCCCGTACGAAGAAAACTAGAGATCACGTGAATGTAGCCCTAGAGGTAATATGATCAGTTTTGTTAAACTAATCACTGAAACTAATGAGCTGGAAATGGTTGGATGCCAACACAGGTGAGCTTGATTCCTCGCAAACAAATACATTTAACAAACCTTCTTACGTGAGTTGAAGAAATAAAATATTATTTAATTCAAAACTGACCACAACCAAGTTGTTATTTTGTTTTACTTAAGCTTATAGTACTTTAATCCATTTAAGAGTGGATCATTCAGTCTGAATGACCCCAGAACCGTAAAGCTATATATATATATATTATTACCCTAATTTCACAGTATGTATATTCACAGAACTTGGTAAACCTTTAGTAAATAGTCTATTATACAAACAAACAAAAAAATATTTTTATACCTTTTTTTACATCTGTTTCTTTATAGTTTCATTGTAGTACTTTCTACCCACTAAAGAAGTAACTCTCACAGCAACAAAGCAGTGACAGCAAAAACTAATATTTCTTCTCATTAAATAACATTTAATTTAATTTTAATTACACAGGAAAAGATAACCAACTCCTATCTGACTGTTGCATGGTCATCAAACGTTATCACCGATACTTACTGACCAAGTAAAGATATGTTTAGTTATATTTTAATCATAAGTTGATGTGGCTTATGATTGTTGATGTATTATAAGCAGATCTGTGTGAAAATATGATATAATTTCATAGCTGTGTAAGAAAGTAGCTTAATTTATTTTTTTTATAACTGCTAGTGGAGATATTAATAAATTCATCATCTCAAAAATAAAACTGTCTCACACTTGTTTGAATGTTCAGTACCAAGCTCTGTGATAAATAATGTTGTATTTTAGAATATATATAATAAATAATGTTGCATTTTGGAATATATATAATACATAATGTTGTATTTTGGAATATATGATAAATAATGCCGTATTTTGGAATATATAATACATAATGCCGTGTTTTGGAATATATTATAAATAATGCCGTGTTTTGGAATATATGATAAATAATGATCTTTATGGAATATATAATAAATAATGCTATATTTTGGAATATATAATAGATAATGCCATGTTTTGGAATATATGATAAATAATGATCTTTATGGAATATATAATAAATAATGCTATATTTTGGAATATATAATAGATAATGCCATGTTTTGGAATATATGATAAATAATGATCTTTATGGAATATATAATAAATAATGCTATATTTTGGAATATATAATAGATAATGTTGTGTTTTGGAATATATGATAAATAATGATCTTTATGGAATATATAATAAATAATACTATATTTTGGAATATATAATAAATAATGCTATATTTTGGAATATATAATAGATAATGCTGTATTTTGGAATATATGATTAATAATGCTGTGTTTTAGAATATATATAATAAATAATACTGTATTTTAGGCTCCATGATAAATAATGCTATATTTTGTTTAAGTCGGCAAAAGTTTCTACTCACTAGTCTCGTAGTTGAACAATTCAGTCTGAAAATCATATTATTAATTAATTTAACTCATGTCTAATAATTTTTATTCAACATTACTTGTATTGGGAGAATTCCATCCAAACCTTGTAAACATTGAAAGTTTACAAATATGTAAAAATAGTTTCTTACAGATTTCTCTCTAGTCTATACTAACTTACTCTCAACACCAAACTCTTTCAATTCCATACCAACTTACTCTCAACACCAAACTCTTTCAATTCCATACCAACTTACTCTCAACACCAAACTTTTCAAATCTATACTAACTTACTCTCAATACCAAACTCTTTCAGTTCCATACTAACTTACTCTCAATACCAAACTCTTTCAATTCCATACTAACTTACTCTCAACACCCAACTCTTTCAAATCTATACTAACTTACTCTCAATACCAAACTCTTCCAATTCCATACTAAGTTACTCTCAATACCAAACTCTTTCAAGTCTATACTAACTTACTCTCAATACCAAACTCTTCCAATTCCATACTAAGTTACTCTCAATACCAAACTCTTTCAAGTCTATACTAACTTACTCTCAACACCAAACTCTTTCAATTCCATACTAACTTACTCTCAACACCAAACTCTTTCAATTCCATACTAACTTACTCTCAACACCAAACTCTTTCAATTCCATACCAACTTACTCTCAACACTCAACTCTTTCAGTTCCATACTAACTTACTCTCAACACCAAACTCTTTCAATTCCATACCAACTTACTCTCAACACTCAACTCTTTCAGTTCCATACTAACTTACTCTCAACACCAAACTCTTTCAATTCCATACTAACTTACTCTCAACACTCAACTCTTTCAGTTCCATACT